CACAAATTGTTTTTCTGGAAAAGCTATCTCCAGTGTCCTGCAGGAAACTCACCCTATCTTTGAGTCCAATCCCTGTCTGTCCTAGTGGAGTTGCCTTCTCTCCAGACCTCTACTTGATGGGTGGCCAGTCGTGGCCAAAGAGAGCATTCTGTCAATGTCCATTGGAAGCACCAAATCTCGGCAATCCTGTGCACAGTCCAGGGCTCACCTGTGGAGCATGAGGGGCAGGTGTTCTGGGGGATAGCTACCGTGGCTCCCCTAAGCCCGTGAAGATCACATGTGGCCCCTCCATCCTGATGGGCGAACTGTGCACACTAAGGGCGAGGACTTGCAAGCCGTCACAAGAATAGACGGAAGGAGGGCACTGAGGTCACCTTCCCTAAGAGGGCAGTTGTTGAGCCCGACAACAGCCTTGCAGATGTTGCTTTGGTGCCCAGAGAACAGCCCCGTGTACGCTTCTGCCAAACGGCATCAGTGAGCAGAGCAGCGCCCTGATGAGCCTCACGGAAGTGGTGCCTGGATCAGACTGGGAAGGGGGAGCAGGACAGGGGCACGACAAGGGCAGAGACACCTTTATCCCCCAGCAAGGACGTTCTTTCCCATCTTCATTTTTTTCTCCTTACTTTTCCACTTATGTGAGGCATGTTTTCCTTATACCGTGTTTCGCCGAAAATAAGACAGGGTTTTATATTTATTTTTTCTCAAGAAGGCACTCTAGAGCTTATTTCCAGGGAATGTGTTATTTTCCCCTCCAAGCCTCAGCTTGCAGCACACAAGACAGCTGGGACCTGACAGCGGTGCTGACCTTGGTGGGGCTGCCTGCACCTTTCAGGTCACCTCTGGGATAGTAGCTGTCACGATGGGCAGATGAGAAGGGCTGCTCATCTTTTTTACCACTCCGGGACGAAAGGCATGGGTTGTGCAGATGCACTGTGTAGCCAGGCCCATCACAAGGTCTTATTTTCGGGGTGGGTTTATATTATGAAAATGCTTAGAAATCCTGCTAGGGCTTATTTTATGGGTAGGTCTTATTTTCAGGGAAAGACAGTATCAACTGTATTTGACCCTGGGAGGTCAGGGATTGCCTGGGCGACATTGCTGCCACTGACAACACAGTGATCCTTTTGAACTACAAATGTCATCAGTCCTGGCAACCTGTGAAATGTGCCAGGGAGGGGCCACTTCCCACGGTGACTGGCAGGAAGGACACCACAGCATCAGGGTCCACGTGTGCTACCCCAACTCCTGAGCCAGCCCCACGGGACAGGTTCTTGGGCAGCGTCTGCCGTTCCTCAGCCCTCCCCCACCCAGGCCAGCCCCCACTGCAGCAGTGACGCCCCCACCCTGCACCCATGCATGTGATCCTCTAGTCACGGACAGCTGTTTCTTAGAAATGATTCGGCCACTATGTTCTTAAACTTTTCCTGTCTTTGACCCGGTCTTCAGCTATGGAAGACCAGTCGTCTTTACTGCCCTAAAGGCTGTGAACCACATGAGGGGGAAGGCGTGGGCTGTAGCGTAATGTCACGAGGCAAAGCTACGTGGAAGGACACAGAGCCCATCTACTCCAACTTCAGGCAGGGAACGAGTGTGGGGCCACATGGTAGCCATTCCTCCACAAGAGCTCCAGGGAACTGGTCACCTTTTGGAAGCCAAAAGAGGTCATGAGAAAGTGGTGAACTAACTCTAGCCTGTCCCTACGAAGCACGTGCTCTAGGTGACTCAAAACTTGTGCCCCCAACACAGCACAGGCAACAGACATAACTCTTGCAGAGCATTTATTCAGAGAACCATGTTCAAATTTTTGGGGAGTGATTTTCCCCCTCAGCAAATGCAGGGGAAAAGTTTCCTAATTCTTCCAGTGTTCTGAGGACGGGAAGGGGTGGCCAGAGGACCGTGGAGTCCCTGAGCCCTGGAGGGGGAGCTGGGAGGGTGTTGAGGCCCCCCAAGGAGGGCAGTTGAGGAAGTCTCCTGAGACGACAGGGAGCTGCCCTCCCACAGACAATTCTTTTGCCCCTTGGGCTTTCTTCTGGGCTTACGAAGCCACTGCCACAGTCGGAGCATTCGCTTTCTCAAGCGTGGTTGATCCGGACGCTGTCCCTCTGCTGGTGTGGCTGGGGAAGTAGCGCTCCCAGGGGACTCCTGTAACATGTCATCTGTGCTGCCCTGAGGGGGCTGCAGGCCAGTCTGCCTGCCGTCCTCAGCTGTCCAGACCTTCTCTGGAAGTTCACAGTTGGCACCAGAGGGGCACGGTCTTAGGTCTCCCTGTGCCCCCTTTCCCGCAGGGGATGAGGCAGGGAGGGGATGATGCAGGCTGGGAGCTGATTTTGTTGTTTTGACTTTTTCTCCAAGAAATTCTTTAAAGCTTCTTCCTGTGGACTTGGAGATTCCATGTTTTGAATTTTTTGTGCTCAGATGAACTTTTGCGCCATTCTTCTTACTTAGTTCCTGATTCTTGCTGGCATCCTTCTTTAGTGGGATTTTTGAGCTGGTCTCTCGGAAGCTAGGTGGGCTGAAGAGCAAATATTGAAGGTCTTTTCTGCCATGACCGCGTATGAACGAAACCCAGGAGAGGGGACGATGGCACATTGACATGGACATGGCGTGAGTTTGTCTGTGATCAGTTACTAGTGACCGACACCCACGGGTGCAGCAGGTGTTGCATGAGCCCCACTCGGGTGGTATGAGCCTGGGTTGACAGTGGACTCCGGTTTTCTTCTGAAGCAAGCTCACCCCACAGATCTGAATCGGGCCTAGAGGCCCAGGTGGTGGGATGGGGTGTGGGGATAGAAATGGGGCCAGAGGCCGGACCTGGGTGAGGGTTAGGGACTGAGACTTGGGCAGGGTCTGGGGCAAGCACAGAAGGTCGAGGTGGTCAATTGCCAGGAATCCTTCAGCTTTGAAGGTTCGTGAGCTTGTGGTGATGAAGACTAATGTGGGGAGACAGCTGTCTTGGACAAGGACCACAGAGTGCAGGGACTTGCCACACAGAGACAGCAGCTGCCAGAGCAGCTCCAGGTGTTTTTGCTGCTGGTCGTCTTCCGAGGTGTCAGGATGCAGGGGCTGTGGGCGCAGGTGCAGCTCCGCTGCTTTCCCTTCACAGCTGCAGCGAGGGAGGTAACCTGGGGCGCCCTGCTGACTGGCAGCTGCTGCCAACGTGGTCCTTGAAGCAGTGAGATGTTCGCCTGGCCTCAGATGGTTTAGAATAGAGCCCACGTATTGTTCCACTCCCTTCCACATCAGGAAATTCCCCCTCTTGCTAACTAGTCTCTCCCAGAGAGCCAGCAGGGCAGAGTTGGGCAGGGAGAGGGAAGCAGACACTATGAGGCTGGCTGCAGGGTCTCCTGCAAATAAGGCCTCAGAATAGCGGAGGGCGAGAAGCTGTTTCTTAAAATCACAGGGTGCCCATTTGGAGGGGAACAAGTCCTGGGCATGAGGCTGCCACCAGAAGAATGCTGACACTGTCAGCTTTGGAGGGTCAGTGCCTCTCTTTGGAGAGAAAAGAGGGGACGGTTCAGGAGTGCTACCAGCACAGAACATGTCCAGACCAAGGTTCTGAATGGCGCGAGCTGGTTTAGGTGGAGTCATCCCTAAAGTGCCATCTGGCGGTGGTGGAGCAGACCGGGCTGGGTGAGTGGGATGCGTGGCCGGGGATGAAAGTGGAAAGTGGAAAGTGTCTCGGGAAAGGCGGAGGCCGAAAAACAGTATGTTCTCCAACGAGACAGTGGCCTGAGGTTTGAGAAGCGGCTGTGCTCGTGGAGTGTGATCTGAGGGACAGGGAACGTCAAGAGGCTGGGGTGCAGAAGGGTGGGGCGGAGGGGCTGGAGGCAAGTGTCCTGGAAGGCTTGCTGACAGCGAGGCGGTGTTGGAGGCGAAAGGGGCCGCAGAGGGAGCAGCAGCATGGAGGGATTCCCTGGGCAGGGATGGTGTGCCTTTCCTTGCTGTTTTCTGGCACAGGTCACAGAGGGGCTGTGGGTGTGCCGGGTGATGTAGATGGAAGACGATATTCATATGGCTGTGTCCCAGGGGTCTGCAGAAGACAGGAGGTACTAAGCTGCAGCCAGGACCGTGACAAGGGAAGGGGAGCCTGCAGGTGCAGTGGGGTGGGGCCCCATGAAGCCTGCTGCCCCCTCCCGTGACATCACAATCCACTTGCTAGCCTCCCCCAAGCCCTTCGCTCACAGTCCTGTTCCCATGGCGACCCCTCCCATGGCCTTGGCAGGGGGCACTGAATCCCTGAAAGGCACAGAACATGCTTTCAACAGGGCCCTGGAGACAAGGGGAAAGATCCATCACCTTTCCACGGAAGACAGTAGCCTCCGTCTCTCAGCGGCCTCTCTCGGTATCATTCTCCGAGCTGGGAACCAGGAGAGAAGGTGATATGTGAGGAAGGTAGACGATTAGAATTACCTGGGGCTCCCTTTATGGGAGACCCTGGGCTTATTAAGCTCTGGCGGTCCCGAAATCAGCAGACGTGGTCAAATGGTCAACAGTAATATTAGCAAGGTTCACGTGTGTGTGTGGATTCATCTAGAAAGTCCTGTTCCACCCATTGTCCCACGTGATGCTCAAAAGCACCAGGTGAAGCCTAGATGTCAGTGGTTCCCTCAGAGCAACCCGAGCACCCAGGAAGTTGTGCTCTTATGCAGAGTCAGGGGACAGAAGTGCTGACTCCAGACCCACCGGGAGTCCTTCCTGGACGTCTCCCATGGCCGCTTACTGGGGAGACCCATGGCCCAGGCCCATCCCTGCGTCATGCCCACAGGTGGGCAGAGCGGGACTCTGAGAAGTGTCTCAGGTCCCACTGTCCTCCTGTGAGCCTCCCCTGAGCTCTGCTTTCCTAGACACTGTGCCCAGCACCTGACAGCCTTGAGATCATGGACCTGGGGCCCCATGGGAGGAGCAGGAGGCTCCCCTGGAGAGCTGGGGACAAGACAGAACCTTACCTCTCAGGGTCACGCCGTTCCTCCTCCTCTTCCCTCTGCCCTCGCGCTGGGAACAAAAGGAAAATAATGAGGGGCTGGACTCGCCTTTCTGCCTCCTCTTCTCTAAGAAGCTGTTCATTCTCCAGGGATAACGTGACTATCCATTTTCGTGACTAGAAATATCTTTCTTTTACCCATTTTTAAAAGTGATGAATGAATTCTAATGTTTCTTTTTTTTAGAAACTCAAAGGAGGATTTGTCTGTGAAGTCCCCACTTGGTGTTCTCCCAAGTGCTGTGTTGAGGAGGACACAGGAACAGAAGGCAACAGTCACTTCTGCTCCCTCAGAGCTTTCTATATCCTGGGGACAGATCGTGGACGCTCTGGACAGTGTCTCCTGCTCATCCCAAGCAGAGGGAAGGCTTGGTCAAGTGACACCTGACATAGAGAGTGAGGATCCAGTGTCAGGGGAGACTGTCCTCCTGAGAACAGCACTGTGAGTACAGGCCGATCCAGCAGCGCGAGGTCGCTGTGTTTGGGGGTTTGCGCTGGATCCTCCACCACAGCCTGGCAGGGATCCTGTGAGCCTGAGGTGGAAACCTTCCTCCTCCCGAGCCCCTCGCCCTGCCCACCTCTTCCCCTGGAAGACTGCCGTCCTGTCACCCTCCAAGCCACCCAGACTCTGGTTGAATGTGGGGTTGGAATGGGAGCCAACAGCTAAGGATCTCTCTGGGGTGTCCCTTACCTTCTGGAATGTTTTGTATTTCCAGGTTGGTTTAACAAGTTTTTTTATAAAAAAATAGAAAATAATTATCAGAAGTAAGCCCAGAGCCCTCTGGAAGGTGAGGGTTAGGATTGTCTTCTGTAAGTTTGAGCCATGTGGCTCAGAGTCATTTATAAAATCAAGAGTGCTCTCCATCATGAGAACAGTCGGGCTGCCTGAAGCAACTGAGTGCTGAGGGGGCCCGGGCTGGCCTATAGCCTCAGGCCCGCATCACCCAGAACAGAAGAGTCACAAAGGGGTCCGAGGTGACAAGGAGAGGAGGGCGTGGGCACAGCCCCTCCCCCACCCGCCAGCCCAGCAGATCCCTCGTGTCCTACTGGCCCTCTGGGTCCCTCTGCCCTCCCCTACAATCCCATTCTCCAACTCCACCTTTTCCTCCTAGCACATGTTTGCCTCAGTGACATGTTCTGTCCATTTCATCTGGAGTCTAGATATGAGCTGTGTCCCCCTTTACTTGGCAGAGCCCTTGACTTGGACCTCTGAAGGTCTGGCAATACACTGGGATCCATGTACCCGGACATTTTGTTATCCACAACACTCGTTGTGTCATCGAGGAGTTATCTACAAAATGGTGGTTTGCCTTACTCTCCCAGACAGAACCTACATTTTTCTTTTTTTTTTTTTGTTTGTAGCATGATTCAGAATATATATTTATTTTTTTTGGCACAATTATGGTTACAGATAGGTTTTTCATAAATGGCCCTTCCCCCCCTTCCCCCAACAGTTTGAAATTCCAGCATGACCATCCCAGATGGTGACATCTCACTATTACTGTAGATCTATATACCCGCCCCGCCCCCTCCCCTCTGGCAATACCCTGATTACTGTTTAGTACCTTATGTTGTCCACTTAGGTGCTGGCTCGTTATACAGTTGCTGGTGATATTATGTGGTGGTGTTTTCTTGGATACTTCACTTAATAGTATGGGTTCCAGCTCTACCAGGAAATTTATAGATGTGCTATGTCACCATGGTTTCTTAAGCTGAATAGTACTCCATGGCATACATATCACATTTTATTAATCCTTCTTGGATTGATGGCATTCTTGGGCTGTTCATACATGCATTTAAATTGTGCTGTCTATAAAATTCCGAGTGCCGGTGTCTTTTTTGTAGAGTGTCATTGGATCTTTTTGGGTGGCCGAGCATAGGATTGCTGGATCAAATGGTTAGGATTCACGTTGTATGCTTTTTTAGAGGTTCTCCATATTGGCTTCCTCCACAGAGGTTGACTAGTTTTGCAGTTCCGCACAGCAGTGTAGGTGTTCTCTCTTCGCATCCATGCAGCATTGTTATTTGAGAGCTTGTTAAGGCCTTTCTCACTGAGTTAAAGTGATTCTCATGTGGTTTGATTGCATTTCCCTTGATGTATTAGAGATGAGAGCATCCTTTTAGGGAGTCATGGTTCAATCTGTAGAGAATGTCCCGTGAGGCTGATGGAGAAGTTATATTCGTGGATTTGGGTGAATTTGTTTCTGTAAATGTCAGTCGACCCTGTTCTAGAGTGTTTGTTTAAGTCCATTATTTCTTTATTAATGTTCTGTTTGTAGGATCTGTCTTGTGCCTTCAGTCAGGTGTTGAAATTCCGGTGGTATTATGGAGTTTGCTATTAATCATGCTGTTCCGTCTTATGTTTTAAGGCTTTATGGAATCTAGGTGCACCTAAGTGGTTGCTATATATTTAACTTGTTTATCTCTTCTTATTTGAACTGTTGGCCCTTCACCATTATATAATGACCCTCTTGTGTCTTTCACTACTTTTGTAGGTTGCTTTTAAAACTATAATCATCTGAAATTAGACTCGCACGCCAGCCTTCTTTTGGTTCCATTTGCTTGGATTACTGAGGCATCCTTGCAGGTTACGATGGTGTTTCCCTGGAGACAGAATATACTTGGCCTGTTTTCTTATCCTTTGGCAGCTTATGGTCTCTTGGAGTGGGCAAGTTTAAAGCCATTACATTTTATTGGAGAGATGTAGGTAGGTTAGATTACTGTTCATTGTTGGTTTGGATGTTGTTCTATGATTTCTGTCTTGAGCCTATTTGTAATATCTGGCTTTAATCTTGGTTTTGGTGTTTTATCATCGTGGATTGCTATTTGATGTTTCCGTCGTAAAGCTGTTTTTTTGGTATCTTTAGCTGGTCTTGTCGTGTGATTCTCTGAGCTTTGCTTGTCGATGTTTTTATTTCTCTTCATATAGAACTTAGCTTTTGCAGGGATAAGATTCCTAGGTGGGCATTGTTTTGTTTCAAAAGAGTGGAGAATGGGGCCCAGTTCTCCTGCTTGTAAAGTCTTCATTCAAGAAGTCTTGGTCGTTATTCGAATGGCTTTCCCTTGTATGGTCACTTGCTCTTTCATCTTACAGCTTTTAGAAGCCTCTTTAGTTGTGATTTTTTTGGTCGTCTTGATGACTGTGTCGCTGGACGGTTTCCGTATGCATTGATTCTCCCAGGGTCTCTGAGCTTCTTGAATTTATTCGAGATTTTGAGCAGCCTGAATTTTCTTCTATTATATCTTCAATTAGCTTGTCCAACCCATGAGTGTTTGTTCTTTCCCTTCTGATAACCCTATGGCTCTCCATTGGGTTTCTTCACATAATTCCACATCTCTTGTAGGCTTTTCTTTTTCTCTTGTTTCTCTGCTCTATTTCTTGACTGATTATTTATTGGAGGGTGTTCTTCAATGCTCTGAGATTTTTTTTCTGTTTGATCTACCCTGTTCTTGGACTTTCACTGTATTTTGTTCTCCTGAATTGATTCTTCATTTCTCTAGGAGTTCGGTTAAACTTTCTTAATGTGATCTATTTCTTTAGTGAACTTTTTTTCCAGGTCCTGGAGGCTTTTTGTGGTTCTTTGTGTTGGTATTGAGTTGTTCTTGCAGGTCGGTGAGTGTTCTTATGATCTACATACAAAATTCCTCTTCTGTCATTTTGGTTGCCTGATTTTGGTTGGTGCCCGTTTCTAGGGGGCTGAGGCTCCTCTTTGGGGGTGTGTTTTCTGCTTGGTTCTTCATATTTCCAGAGTTCCTTTGCTGATTTCTTCCCATGTTGATCAGTTGTTGTTTCTTTTTTTTTAGGTTTTTGTTTGGGTATTCACACGCCTTCTTTAGTTTCTGATCCGGTAGGTGGTGTCGCTCACTGGCAGCAGGTCTCTCCACTTGCTGGGGAGCCCACCAGCAGTCCGGGATGCAGGGAAGGGGAAACGGACTATCCACCTACACTTCCCACTGGTCTCTGGGCTGCTCCAACTTCCAGTTCTTCTCCATGACCTCCTCCTGTGGAGTCTCCCATGGTCTCAGGTACTCCACCTTCTGACCCTCATCTGATGTAGGCTGGTCTTCTTGCTTCTTTCTTCTAATTTCTGCTAGAATCTATCTTTTCTGCAGAGACACTCTTTTTGGTGGTGTTTCTCATCCGCCATCTTCTCTGAATCTCCTCCCTAACATTCTTTTATACTTACTTAGTTTTATGAATGTGGACTAGCAAACATTTTGTTTAAAGTCAGCCTTTGCTGTTAGTGTTGTCAATCAGAGTACTTACTCAAGTAATTAAAACTAATAATTCATCACACTAAAATAAGTGTAAAATCAACATATATGATTAAAACATCAGGTGATTTGGGGGTGATAAATTTATGGCACTTATTTTTCTGAAGTTATTGTAGCTTGAATTGTTCAAAGACTTTTGGGACATGCTCTCCACACACACACACCATTTCACAAATCAGTCCAGTATATTCAAATCCGGGAATTGATCATTTCCTCTTGTATTGCAATCTTCTATTCATTATATTGACGACAATTTTTCTAATCCTTCCTAAAATACAGATAGTCCCAGCCCTCTACATCAGCTTCACAACAGGTGTGTGACTGTGTGACTCCCTAGATCCAGGCCCAGGTCAGAGTCTGATAAGCTTTGAGTCCCTGAGCCCCTGGTGGCAGGTTAGGACTTTGTAGTGCCACCGCCTTAGGGCAGAATCTAATCTTGAGCAGCATCACTTGATTATACCATGAGCCATGAGAATGTGACCTTTTATTGACAATGCCTTGGCATGAGCGCGCTCACACAAACACACACGCGCACACACCCACACACATACACGTGGTCATGCACACACACAAACACATGTGCTCAAAGTTCGAGATTATCTGCTCTATGTAGTCACCCCTGCAAATGTCCAGATAGCAACTACTATGTCACACTTAATTCAGGCTCTTCTTGTCAGGTTTAAACAATCGTCACATCTCCCAGCCCTTTTCCTACACCTATTTTTCTAAAGTCTTTATCAGGTGACAGCTGTCCTCTCAGCTGTCTTGTAGCTGCTCATGTCTGTCTTGAACTGTGCAGCCTGTCACTTGGCACGCATGGGCCAACACTGTGACTTGATCTCTTGGAGGGGACAGACAGCCCTCCAGCGTGGCCACATCTCCCTTCGGTTCTGCAGGAGCAGGTAGCCTGCCTTGAGGAGAAAATCTGCCAAGACGTGTCATTTCCTCCCCTCTTTGATATGCATCCTCTGTCATTGTTTCATTTAATATATATTTACTTCCTGAAGCTGGGAGTCACACATGTGTAATTTGTGGGCTATCTCCTTGACCTCACCATGCAGGTTTAGCATGAAGCTCTGCCTAGCTGAAGAGCTACACAACTGCAGGGAAGAGGTGTCCCCACCCCCAGCATTTGTGAATGCCCAATGATCTCTGGGACAAATCAGATACTGTGGAGCTAACTACTCAGACACATCATGCTCCTTCGCAAAGCGTTCCTGAACCTCTGCCCTCTCCAGTTTTCTGATATGAAGTAGTGATTCTTTGAGAATTGGTCAAAGAATAACTTTTTTCTTTTCAAATAGCATTCCTTAGCTAGATATCCCTGCAGGTACATGTGTGCCTAGAGCTAACACCTACAAGAAGCTTCAATAGAGAAGGCTTTTCCCCAAATGCTGGTAAGATTCCTTTTCTGAACCTGGTAGAAGCTCCTTCAAAATTGAAAGGAACAAGAGATAAAGGTACAACATTTAGTTTTTTTGTACCAGCAACAATAAACCGCATTGACACTGAGTAGCAGAGCTTCGTAGCACTCAGCCTTTCTCAAGTAGCATCAACCGTAAATTATAAATTTGCTTGTCTAATTTATAAAGAGGTTTTCTTACACTGTTCTCAGTGCATTTGTACAAGCATCCTGTAGGTAAGCAGAGCAGGTATTATTGCGCCCATTTTATCAATGAAGAAAACCAATTACAGCAATACCTATGCTGTACTTGTGTGCCTGCTGTTCGCAGTCAGGTGTATACCTTCAGATGACCTCTTCTCAGTAAAGTCCCTTTTTGCATATCGAAGAACTCCTTTTAACATTTTTTGTATAACGGCACTGGTATTAAAGAAATCCCTCAACTTTGTGTGTCTGGGAAAGTTTTTCTTTCTCCTTCATGTTTCAAGGATATATTTGCATTTTTGCAGTATATAATATTCTAGAGCTAAGGTTTTCTTTTTTTTCCTTCAACACTTTGAATATGTCACCCACTCTCTCATGGACTGTAAGGTTTACCATGAGAAGTCTGCAGTCAGACCTGTGAGAGCTGCTTCATAGGTTATTTTTTTCTTTTTTCTTGCTTCCCTTAGGGCCCTTTCTCTATGTGTGATCTTTTTGAGCTTGATTATGAAATGCCATGAGGTTATCTGATTCCACTTAAATCTAATGGTGAAAGAAGAGACGACACACACTGTTTCTCCTTCTTCACGTTCTGGTCACTCTTGGGCACATTTTAGTCCATTGTCCACCTCCATCAGTCTACTGATATTATTGCTCAAGGTTCTGAATACATTCTAACTGCCAGACCCAGTGGTCTTTCTAGAAGTCATTACCTAATCACATCTCTGCCACTCTCTTTTGAATTTTTTTTAAATCATTCCATCCCCATTTGGTTCATAGAAACTTGGGATCCACCTTTTGAATGCTGATATTTTTCAAGCACCTGGACTTACCAAGAATTCTTCATCTTAGATCCATAAATCCCTGAAAGTTTGTAAAATATTTAACTCCTATATGTATGTGTGTATTGTTTTTTCTAGAGGAGAGTGTTCGTCAGCTTCTTAGGGGTCAATTGCTGTTACCCAAGATACTCCTTCCAAGAGAGTCCACCGACTCTCACAGTCTCCACTGTCATCCCTCAGTGGGCGTCTTCTGCATGGTGTCCTCCAGCCCAGATCTTGCTGTCAATTATTAACTCAATTTTGCCTGGACATTGCTTTCCACATGTCACATGGGTTTCTCAGCTGGGCATGTAAAAGATTAAATCTTTTTTTTTTTCCCCAAACCGGTTTCTTTTTTCAGTGTTCTCCATGTAAATTGTAGGTAGCTTCATCCAACCAGCATCCAAGCTAGAAACAAAAAGGTCATTCTCTCCCCTTCTTCTGAGCTTCCTCCTCTCTGCCACCACCCCCACCTCCACTGCTGCCACCATCCAAATCAGTCACAAGGTCTTGCTCATACTGCCTTTTCAGCATATTCTCTGTGCTCTGGTCTCTTTAATTTGGTTCAACCGTTGCAGAATTCCTAAGCCATCTTCTAGCCGTCTGTCGAGTTCCATTCACATTCATTCCTCAGGCAGTTTCCAGGATGCATATAAAGGTAGTTATAAACTGTTTCAGTGGCCTGTCTATAAAATAGTCATACTAATATTTGTCTCTACTTTTCTTAAAAGAAGATTTATACACATAAAGCTGCATCCTAAGTGCCCTGAGGGCACGGGCTGTGTCTTCTTCAGTCTTGAATCTTGCTTGGTTGCTGTAGTTCAGGCCTCCAATCCCAGCACTTTGGAAGGATGAGGTGTGAGGGGTTCAAGACTAGACTAGGCAACAGAGCCAGTCCTTATCACTACAGAAAGTTTAAAATTAGCTGGGTCCAGTGGCATGCACTTGTAGTCCCAGCTACCTGGAAGGCTGAGGCAGGAGGATTGCTTGAGCCAGAAAGTTTGAGGATGCAGTGAGTTATGATCTTGCCAGTACACACCACCCTGGGCGACAGACCGTGTCTCTAAAAAAAAGTTTTTTAAAAATGTTTAATTTGAAAGCTTCCCGTACTCTTTGTTATATGTTTGGTGTTTAACTAATGAATATATTCTTAAAACATTTCATATTTGTGCCCACTTTTAAAAACTTTATAATCATTTTGTTTTTTAGAGACAGTCTCACTCTAATGCCCAGGCTGGAGTGCAATGGCATGATTTTATCTCAGGCAGCCTCAAACTGCTGGGCTCAAGGGATCCTTCCATATTACCCTCCTGAGTAGCTGGGAGTATAGGCATATGCCACTAGGCCTGCCTAACTTTTATTTTTTATTTTTTGTAGAGATGTAGTCTTACTATGTTGCCCACAATGGTCTTGAACTCCTGGCGTGAAGTGATCCTGCCTATTTGGCCTCTCTCAAAGTCCTGGGTTTACAGGTGTGAGTTACTGCAGCCAGACTGTATCCAGTTTTAACAATAATTTTCGTGGAGAAAATTTTTTAATGTGACAGTGCAAACAAAGATGAACAAACCCAGTGTCCGAAGCAGTGATGTGGCTCCTCTGATTTTCTTGCACTGATTCCAATCCCGCAGGCTTAGATGTGCCGTGTTGGTGCTCATCGTCTTGTACCTCAACCCCATCCCCGTCAGTCTGCTGGTCACTCTTGCAATTGTGAAATATATTCAGGGCCAGTTGAAAAACTGGGTGAGTATTAAAATCAGAATGTCTTTCTTTCTTTTTTTTTCTTTGTTTTAATTTTAGCGTATTATGGGGGTACAAGTGTTAAGGTTACATACATTGTCCTTGCCCCCCTCTCCTCTCTAGAAGAGCTTCAAGCGTGACCATAGAAAATCACTCTTAAGCTATGGTTTTTGGTTTTCTTTTGTAAAGAATCAAATTAACTGAGTCTCCACGGGAGGCTGCTGCACTGCGGGGCGGCTGCACTCTGGACAGACAGGCTCAGCGCTGTCCCAGCCTGGCTCAGCAGCGCGTGCGCTTGGTGATGTTCACCGCCACCGGTTTTTTTTTGTTGTTTGTTTGTTTGTTTTTCTTTTTTTTTTTTTAGGTGATAAGATTCAAGAGACATTAGTTGAGAGCTGGTTCATAGTGTTGTGCACCTCTTCTATATCTTTGATGACTTTTTGTTTACTTGCTCTATCAGTTATTGAGAGGGAGATTTGAAATCTGTAACTGTAATTGTGGATCTGTGTTGACCTTGACGTACTTTTAGATTTGCTTTGCATATTTTATTTATTGACCTTGACGTGCTTTTAGATTTGCTTTGCATATTGTATTTATTTGTTATTTTTAGCTCGTGACCCTACTGCAGAGCGGTCCCCCCACCCTGCCGCGGGGAGGGTCTCGCGGGGCAACGACCGCAAAGGCGGGTGAGGGCTGCCCGCTGAGTCACGGGGACCCCCGACCTGACGCCAGGAGGCCGAGGGCTGGGGCGCAGCGAGGTCGCCGGACAGCCCGCACCCCGCCCCTCCCAGCAGCCGCGGGCGGAGGAGAGAGAGGCGCCTCGGGCAGAGCGGGAAGAGCCGCCGTCAGCCGGCACGGCCGGTCCCTCGCCTGGCGCGAGGTCAACGCCCGGAGAGCGCGACGTCACCGTCTGCGTCCCGGGATTTAACCTCTCTTATTAGGTACGTGGAGATTGAGGGCTGTTTTCCCTATTGATTAATTGGCCTGTTTGTCATTGTGAAAAGATTTTCTTTATCCTTGTCAATATTCTTTACTATGAAATCTATGTCGTCTGACACAGACAGGGCAGTTTTCTCTTGATTAGTGGCTGTTTGGTATATATTTTACTTTCTTTTAACCAATGTGTGTCTATACGTTTAAATGGTGTTTCTTCTAGGAAGCATTTGGTGGCTCCTGTGGTTGTGATTCCTTCTGAAAACCTCTGCTGTTTAACTGGGGCAGTTAGATCACGTGCATGGTGTTGTTATTGCTATGGCTGGGTTTAAATACATAATTTTACCATTTACTTTCCGTTTGTTCCATCTTTTCTTTTTTCCCCAACCTTCTTTGGATTACTTTTTTATTCCAATGTTTCTCCTTTAAAAACTATTTTAGTAGTTTATAGTAAGTGTTTTTAATTTATTACCATCTACCTTCAAATGTTGTTATTCTATTTCACATATAGCATGAAAACCATACAATTCCACTTTTCTCCTCAAAATCTTTGTGCTATTGTGATTATAATTTTAATTTTATTTGTATTTATTTTTTCATTTTAGCATATTATGAGGGTACAAGTGTTAAGGTTATGTATATGGTCCATGCACCCCTCCACCCTTGAGTCCAAGGTTCAAGTATTTCCATCCCCCAAACGTTGCACATCTTACTTCTAGTGTTTTGTATATACACATCCCCTCCTCCCCCCTCCCACCTGCCTGACACCCAATAAATGTAACTCCTATATGTCCACTTAGGTGTTGCTCTGTTAATACCAATTTGCTGGTGAGTACATGTGGTGCTTGTTTTTCCATTCTTGAGATACTTCACTTAGTAGAATGGGTTCCAGCTCTATCCACGAATATACAAGAGGTGCTATATCACCATTGTTTCTCAAAACTGAGTAGTACTCCATGGTATACCACATAAATAAAACATATACCACATTTTATTAATCCACTCATGAATTGATGGGCACTTGGGTTGTTTCCACAGTTTTGCAATTGTGAATCCTGCTGCTATAAACATTCGAGTGCAGGTATCTTTTTCATAAAGTGACTTTTGATCTTTTGGGTAGATGCCCTGTAGTGGGATTGCTGGATCAAATGGTAGATCCACTTGTATCACCTTGAGGTATCTCCATATTGCTTTCCACAGAGGTTGAACTAGTTTGCAGTCCCACCAGCAGTGTAGGAGTGTTCCTATCTCTCTACATCCATGCCAGCATTTATTGTTTGGGGACTTCTTGACAAAGGCCATTCTCACTGGAGTTAAGTGATATCTCGTTGTGGTTTTGATTTTCATTTCCTGATGATTAGAGATGTTGAGCATTTTTTCATATGTTTGTTGGCCATTATTCTGTCTTCTTTGGAAAAGTTTCTGTTTATGTCCTTTGCCCAATTTTGATGGGGTTGTTTGATTTTTTTCTTGCTGATTTTCCTGAGTTCTAAATATATTCTAGTTATCAGCCCTTTATCAGATGTGTAGCTTCCAAAAATATTCTCCCATTCTGTGGGTTGTCTGTTTGCTCTCCTGACAGTTTCTTTGGCTGTGCAGAAGGTTTTTACTATGATCAGGTTCCATTTGTTTATTTTTGTTGCTTCTGTGATTGCCTTTGGGGTCTTCTTCATAAATTACTTGCCTAGGCCAATGTCTAGAAGAGTATTTCCAACATTTTCCTCTCGAATTCTAATAGCTTCACACCTAAGGTTCAAGTCTGTTACCCAGTGTGAGTTGATTTTTGTGAGAGGTGAAAGGTGTGGGTCTTGTTTTAATCTTCTACATGTGGCTATCCAGTTTTCCCAGCACAATTTGTTGAATAAGGATTCTTTTACCCAGTGTATGTTTTTGTCTGCTTTGTCCAAGATTAGTTGGCTGTCTGAGGATGGTTTTATATCTGGGTTCTCTGCTCTGTTCCACTGGTCAATGTCCCTGATCTTGCACCAGTCACAAGCTGTTTTAATGACTATAGCCTTGTAGGTATGATATGAAGTCGTAAATTGTACCTCTATTTTGTTTTTATTGCCTAGGATTGATTTAGCTATAAGGGGTCTTGTCTGGTTCCATACGAAATGTAAAATAATTTTTTTATATCTGTGAAAAATGATGATGGTATTTTGATAGGGATTGCATTGACTCTGTAGGTCACTTTGGGTAGTATACACATTAAAATATTGATTCTGGACCCATGAGCATGTATATTCTTTCCTCATGTTTACTTCTCTGATTTATTCTTCAGTGTTTCATAGTTCTCCCTGTAGAGGTCTTTTACCTCCTTAGTTAAATATATTCCAAGGTACTTTATTTTCTTTGTTGCTATTTTGAAGGGAATTGAGTCTTTGATTTGGTTCTCACTTTTACTGTTGGCATATATGAATGCCTCTGATTCTGTGTATTGATTTTGTATCCTGAGATTTTACCAAATTCATTTATCAATTCAAGGAGTCTCTTGGTTGAATCCTTGGGGTTTTCTAGTTATAATCATGTCGTCAACAAAGAGTGATAGTTTGATCTCTTCTGCTACCATTTGGATGCCCTTAATTCTCCTCTCTTGTCTTATTGTTGTAGCAAGGACTTCCAGCACTATGTTGAATAGAAATGGAGACAGTGGGTAACCTTGTCTTGTTCCAGTTTTAAGTGGGAATGCTTTAAATTTTTCCCCATTCAGTGTGATATTGGCTGTGGGTTTGTCAAACATATGTGGCTTGTATCATTTTTAGGTAAGCCCTGTCTGTGCCTATTTTGTTGAGCGTTCTTATCATAAAAGGGTGTTGAATCTTGTTGAATGCTTTTTCTGTGTCGATTGAGAGTATCATATGGACATTGTTTTTGCTTCTGTTTATATGGTGAATTACATTTATAGATTTGTGTATGTTGAACCATCCCTGCATCCCTGGGATGAAGCCCACTTGGTTGGGATGGATTATCTTCTTGACAAGCACCTGAATTCGATTGGCTAGGATTTTGTTGAGAATTTTTGCATCTATATTCATAAGGGATATTGGTCTGTACTTTTCTTTGTTTGTTGCATCCTTTCCTGGTTTTAGTATAAGAGTAATGTTTGCTTCATAAAATGTGTTGGGGAGTATTCCATCCTTCTCGATGTTGTAGAATAATTTCTGCAAGATAGGCACCAGTTCTTCCTTGTAGGTGTGGTAACATTCAGGTGTGAAACCATCTGGTCTAGGACTTTTTTTTAGGAAGGTTTTTTATTTCTGTTTTATTTTCAGTACTTGATATTAGTCTGTTCAGGAATTCTATTTCTTCCTTATTGAGCCTAGGGAGGCTGTGTGTTTCTAAGAAATTGTCCATTTCCTCTACATTTTCCAGGTTGTGTGCATAGAGGTTTTTGTAGTATTCATGAATTCTATGTTGTATCTCTGTGGCATCTGTTGCAATTTCTCTCTTATTGTTCCTGATGGAGCTTGTTAGAGATTTTTCTTTTCTGCTTTTTGTTAGTCTAGCCAAAGGTGTGTCAATTTTGTTTATTTTTCAAAGAACCGTTGCTTTGTTTTGTTAATCTTCTGTTTAGGTTTCTCCTGTTGGTAAATTTGAGTTAGTTCTTATTTTGATCTTAATGATTTCAGTTCTTCTGCTGGTTTCGGGGTTGTGTCTGTTTTTTCTAAGCTCTGCGAGATGATTCATTTGTTGTCCTATTTTGTGATCTTTTATAGTTTTGGATATAGGCTTTTATGAAAATAACTTTCCTCTCAGGACTGCTTTAGCTGTGTCCCACAGGTTCTTGATAACTTGTGTCTCCTTTGGGTCATTTATTCAAAGAATGTTTTGATTTCCATCTTGATTTCCCTCATTTATAGTATGACGTGGTCATGCACAAAGGTTATGTTACCTTTCCCACTGACCTGTTGTGTACGAAACTGAGAGTGTCTAAGGTTGATTTCTACTTTTATTGACATTCTTATCTGAAAAGATATATGGGGTAACGAATTTGCTATTTTTTAACAATTGTTTGAAACATACTTTGTGTCCTCATCGGAATATGGTTCAACTCATTGAGAATGCCCATGAGCCTTGATGCAGAAGAACCAAGTATATTCAGTGTTTTTCGGGTTAGAGAATGTCCCTGTAAATTCAGTCACGGCCCATCTTGTTCTAGAGTTTCTGCTTAAGTACATTGTTCCTTTGCTCTGTTTTTCCTTTTTGGAGGATCCTTGTCCTGTGCCTGTCCAGTGGGGCGCGTCACTCTCTACTCCGCGCTGTTTATCCAATTTCTTCTTACGCATCAAGTAAGTTTGCCCTCATGACTCCGGCGCGTCAGCCAATAGCGTGATGGCGTGCATATACGTTTTTTAGAATGAATGTCTTCTGTTTGAACCCTGGTCCCTTCACCATTATACTAGTCGACTTGTCTTTTGTTCTTCTATTACTTTTATTGATTTAAAACTAAGCTTATCTCCGTAATCAGCACGCACCACGCCACGCTTTCTTTTTGGGCTCTGTTTGCTTGACAATATTGTCTCTCCCACCCTTTTATCTTCTAGTCTATAAATGCACTCCTTGCGAGGTTACGATGTGTTTTTCCTGAAGGCAGCGACACCTGTTTCTTGTGTTTTGTTTATCCATTCGGCCAGTGCTATGTTCTCGTGTAGTGGGAGTTCAAGCCATTCACACTTTATTGAGCATAACGATAGGTGGGGCAGATTTCCTGATTCATTATGTATGTTGGGTTGAACTTTTGTTGCTTTGTTTTCTGTTCTTGAGCCATTTGGGTTTCATGGGCTTTTATCCTTAGCTTTGAGTAGATTTACATTCGTGCGAGTGTTATTGTGCTGATCCACCGTACTAACACTGTTTGCGGTACTTCTGAAGACCTTTGTCCATTGTTTTGGCCTGAATCCCTCAGGTCTTTGCTTATCTGGAGATGTCTTAGTTTCCTCCCTTCTTAACAAACACTTAGTTTTTCAGGGAATGAAAAAAAGATTCTAGGCTGCGGTGTTATCCCTGT